GCCGCGGTGTCCGGGGGCGCTGACGAGGACGAGCTTCGCGGCCAGTAAACTTTTCTAGCTCTGCTGCGCGAAGCGTTACGGCCACCCACCCCGCTCCAGGAACCAAGTCCGCAGCTAAAGCCAGCGGCGTCTAGATGTGGCCTTCTTTCCCCAGCCAAAACCCTCTCTCCCTGAATAATGCTTTTCGAAAGAAGGACAAGGTGTGCGTGGTTTTTTTCTGGCTCAAATGCTCCTATTAATAGCTCGCAGATGTTGGCATGTGTGACGTAAGGCGTCCTAGACCTTGACCAGAAGAAAAAAAGTGACAAGTTTAAACATTTACCTGTACAACATGTAACAATATCCCAGTGCCGCTCACCAACAGCGATTACTACAGCTGCATCCTACATGAACAGGCTAAAAGGAGGCAATTATTTTTATGAACTCCATCTTTTGGCACTTACTGAAGGGACACTGTTTTAATAACAGCCTGCCACCAGTTCAGCGTCAAAGCTGCTCTGGGATCCCTACAGTTACAGACAAATGGGCCAACAACTTGGATTAGGTTACAGCACTAGTTTTGATTTGAGCCTAAATCAAGGCTAAATCTCATCTGCTTTTCTTACAAAAGTCTGGCTATAGCTTAGAACCAGAAAACAAATATCTCCTGGTTTGGGCTACAGTACAAAGCCAGCATTTGAGCGCCAGCTTCCTGAAATTTGACTCCAGGCTTTAATTTTGAGCTGGTGGTTTTGCTCAGAGCATTTTGCACCTTCAAAACACTCTACAAATATTTAAGCAAAGGCAATTCCTTTTGCACAAGGTATCAAGCGGTACCAGTAAGCTCTATAAAATTACACCACTACCAGAGTGGTTTTAGGATTTTTGCACGACTCTACTACAGAAAGCCCCCTCCCAAGGCTGCTTCCCTTCCTTTTGCCATCTTCTCAGGACTACGCTTTCTTTCCATGTGCTAAGCTTTCAGTCCGTTAGTCAGACACAGAGGAAAAAATTCTAAAACCTACAAGGCTGTGATTCTGCAAGGTGCTTGTTACCTATGCTCAGGTAACAAACAAGCTCAGTCCCTCAGAGGACTGAGGCAGAAAAATTGCACCAAGGAGCTGGTTCCCTTCATTTGCATCAGGACAAGCTGATGACCAACACTGAAGACGATTGTCATAGTGGCATTTGGGGAAGATAGGAGAGCATCTGGCTCAGATTAGATCGTTGTTGAAATACAGAGCAATTTCCAGCTCTTGAATAACTGCAACATTATTTTCACTCAGATATGCGCCCTTACATAATGGAGTCATTGTCAAGGTGCTACGGCCAAAGGGGGAGATATCCCATTGTGATAGCTACAGGGGTTTCTCCCTGGGAACAGCATCTGTGGCTGCATCCCTACAACTTGTAAATAGGCAAGGTCCACATATTACACTGCAGGATGGGTGCCAGCCAAATTCCCATTGTATGTCCAAAAGGACATGTCATAAGGTCAATCCCAATTCATGCTATCGTGTTACTTAGATACACAGTCACTTTAAAGCATGTCTCTCTTAAAGCATGCATATTCCTAAATGAAAGTAAAATTGCTTAATCTCTCCAGACTGCACTCAGAATTCAAGACTTTCTTAGCATACTGTTGGGCACACTTGTATGTTACATACAGACCAACACGTAACACATACTAGCGTGCTGAGCAGACTTGGTATCTAATTAAGACCGTCAGCGCTTGTTTAACTTCTGCTGCCTTTGTAATTTGTTTTGGAATATCCATCTGAAAAAAACAGTTAATCAGTCACTAAAAGATCATATATTGGACCTCCATACCCATCAACGGGACTGAATATCCAATCACTTATAGAACTCATTTATTTTGGAAATGCTCTATCAATGTCAGTGGACTTTTTTAAAGGAGGTAGTTTCTCATACCCAGGACACTAAAGGATAACTGAGTAAGCAAGCACAAATGATCTCTAACAAATGAAAGATGTATAAAGCTGTCTTCCCTACCCCACTGCTATGTGGATGTGCACCACAGAAGATGGAGAGGAGATGGAAAAGTTGTTGGAGATGTATTACTAGAAGTGCTTTGGTATCTTACATTTAGCGAAGCAGTATGAAAGCCTGGCAAATATCCAAGCCATACAGTGGACTGACCTGACACTCATCAAGATATTAGTAATAAAAGCCCAGCAGCAGTCCATCGAGCACTCAAATGGATGACTAGCATATACCCAACTACCACGGAGATGATGAAGGGGAGCATGGACAAAAGAGCTATTGTCCACAAAGCTCTTTCTAAGATGCTAAAGAGACCACTGGTTGAATGCAACTTGATAGTCAGGTTTTTAGCTGCAAATTGGCAAGAGTGAAGCAGAAACATGGAGGAAGATATAGGGTATTTAGAACAGTAATGCTGTACCCTTGTGTATGAAAAGCTTAAAATATGAAGTATGCAGCAACAGCAAATGAGAAGGTAAATTTGCCATAAATGCTGTTTATTTTGCACAAGCATGGTGAACCATCTTCATTCTGCCATGCTTCTTTTGCTTTTCTCCATTCCCCCATAAAGATCCTGTGATCTCAAACCACAAGCGACTCGTGTTCCCTGTGCCCAAGAAGCCAAGCTGTCAGTCAAGATCCTTATGTCAGATTTTCAGTCTCATGGAAAACCTGAACTCAAGTTCAGATCCTCCCACAAAAACCAAGACCCTAAACTTATTAAGATAGTCTATGTTGAGAGCAGAGAAAGACTTTGATATACTTTTAGTAGCTTGTGCAACCAGGAAACCTGTTAAGTTCTGAATTTGCTAGAATTTCCCAGGGAATAAAGCCCTGGGCATGCGTTATATTGCTGCATTCTAGACTGTGAGTGACAAAGACACACACGACTACACATAAACCTGAATTTTGGTGATGAGAAAGCAGAGAGTGGAGAAATGCTCTAAAGAGTGGGGCTTGCTGTTCCTGCTGCTGAGGAGAAAGCAGGGAGGGTTAGGACGGTGATGACAACTGCTGCTTCTGGGATGGTTAGTATGACAATGTGTGGCATTTGGCACAGTATAGTTATATAAAGCATCATGCAGGAATGTGTTCAATATACCGCTCAGTATAGTAGCTGGCATTTTTACGAAAGCATTGCAGCACAGTCTTAAACTCTGTTAAATAATCAATGTTGAGAGCAATATACGTAGCTGTTATTCTGTGTAACATCGATTAAGAAAGCATATAAACAAGTTCTAATTAAATAATGCTTACTTAGAGTTCTCTGGTGATATGCAGACGTTACTTACATGTTTGGGACCCTGCTCTTCTTGAACAGCAATACTTACTTTTACTTCAGCTGGGGGAGTAGGACTGCATCCAAGCTGGCTGTCTCAGTACTATCAACATGGGTGCAGTGAAACACTTCAACTACAGACCTAAATACGGGTCTCTAAGACATTCTTAGACCATTCCTAAAAAGAAGCAAAACCAAATCAAAAACAGTTTCTGGAATACTCTCTGGCATTGACTGGACAGGCAGTACTAAGAAAAAGAGAGCTGAAAAGATGCAAGTGGTAGATACACATAAAATCACAAGAGAACCCACCTTATTTTCATTGCTGCAGGATGGCTGCAAATTGGACATAATCACATCAGTAACAGCTATTGCCTTGAGGCAATCTACTGCCAGGTTAACTTTTCTTTGAGGAAAGTATTAAATCTCCCTTTTTTTGTATTAATTTCCTCCTTGTTTTCTTAAAGCATATTACGAATATTAAATAATTAAGCCTTCTATCCAGCTGAACCAGGCAATACTTACTGTGACTCCTCACTTTATAAAAGCAGAAATTAAGGAAAGAAAGTGATTTTTGCCACGAATCAAATAAATCTGTCATCAAACTGGAAAGAGATCTCGTTTTCCAATTTAATACTTAACCACAAATCCATCCTTCTTTTTGACTACGCATTTCACCCCCATCAAGACTAAGCAACTTAACCACAAATACATTACCCCAAGTCACTAAGTCACACTATGACATATGTGTAAAATACATTTCACTTACTTGTAGTTAATGGTGTGCATGATCATATTCTGTACTTGTAGCGCTAATATAACATGAATACTTCTTGCAAAATGGAGCAGAGGAAAAGAATCCAAGTCTGTCTCATCTATGAAACTTTCAATGTCATTTCACTTCAGCTGGGGCTATGCAATTCTGATGTTCAACCAACTTAACATATGCTATATTTAACAGCAGCACTTGTTAAATAAATATTATCTCAGCCATACACTAGGTAACAATCTCTGTCACTCCCACACTAGTAAAAAAAATCGTGAGGCATCAAGAATGTGCAGTGACTGCAACTAAATCAAACTTGGTATTTCATCTCCTTCTTAGAAAATCTTACCTGAAAGGGTAAGAAAGCCAACAAAACTATCAGACCAAATTACCTTCTGTGTACCGATAACCACTGCATTTTGGAAATACTAATTCAAAAAGCTTCCAAATGCTTTTTGTGAATCACATCTTATTCATTTGTTGCATTTGCAATAAGCTTCTTCCACATAGATTTAATCCTTCTTTAAAAACTGTGAGTGGTTTTTGTTCTGGATTTCGTTACAGTGTGAAGCATTTTTCTTTCTCCCATAGAACAGTTTTCACTTCAAAGCCTACTGAAATGGATTTTTGTTTCATTTTCATATTTCCTTTTGCATGTACTTTTTAAATAGATTTCCAACTGGCCAGGTGATCAAATTTTGCACCAAAGGTATTCTGCACAGAGGAGCAGACTGATAATCCACCAAATTTACCACATTCTTTTCATGAGGGATTTGATCTACTTGGCCTCACTTTAAACACAATCATTAGATGCAGAAAAACGTGCAACCAATGTAACAGACATCCTCAGCAGCATAGTGAAGGACAGCGCATCGAACTTTAGAAAATGGTGGTAAATTGCCTGCATTGATGTCAGCCTTGTGCGTACCGCGCTCTCAGTGATGCTAACAATGACGGTCATGCAATTGTCAGAAAACACGGCCCTGAGAAATTCTTCTGCGGTCAAGACTACAGGCTACGTTGCATTGATCCACACTTGCAGGCACAAAGGCAGAATTGGGATAACTTCTGCACCTAAGAGAAACAATTGTGATTGCCTTCCTCACAGAGCGAGTGGAAAAACATGCGTATGGCCTCTGATGCTATCTGAGAAAGAGAGAAAGAGGAGAAAGGCCTTCGTTGCAGAAGCCTGTTGCATAAAGGATTGACAAACTATTTTGTGCAGTCAGCACTGAACAGAATGCCTCCAACAATACATTGGCATCACTGGCTGTCTACTCCAGTCTGGCTTCAGCTGCTTACTTCTCATCCACCGCTCCAGCTGGGTCATCCTTTGGGAAAGCTGTTGCAACAAACCATCTTGGTTCAGTGAAACAGGTGTAGGGCTAAGTATCCTAAAGAGCCTCACTTAGTCATGCGTCTGTAGCAGGGTTTTCCACATAATTTTTGTGAGGTCCTGCTGTTCCCATAATATAACGAGTCAAACACAACTGCTATATAGCTTTACAGCATGTAAATCATACTACAGCTCTTCATGTACAGTGTTACACTGTGCAGCCAATAATTTCGTTCCTCAGGAAAATCAAACACTTACATGCAGAAACATCACACTATGCATCACTAATACATTACTCCCTAAATCATTTCATTACCACCTCCAGTGGCTTCATGCACACACATTTTCCAGTCAAAGAACTACAGCACAAGGGAGCCATTTAAGTTGACTACTGATTAACAAACAAGTATCACTTGCATAGTACGAAAATACACATATTCTGGAACACTCAGCTTCAACGCTGTACTTTTTCCTGGGTAAAAAGTGCAAAAAACCTTCTGTTCAAAAATATTAAAAGCTGATGACAGAACCTTTTAAAAAAAAACAAATAAAAAATCAAAACCCCAGATTACTATCTGCAACTAAGAGAAAACATAAAGAAAACAAAACAGGAAGAGAATTGCATATGTCCTACACAGGATAACAATAAAAAAAACTGTTAAGAATCCAAAAACCATAAAGAGGTGAGTTAAAACCAAACGTAACCTCACACTTTCTGCTCTAACTTTAATAAAAGAAAAAGGCAACTAAAACGATCTTCGACATGAAGACACGTTCCTGATGACTGTCCTAATGTGAACTAATTTACAGTAAGCAGGCCAACTGTCTGCATGTTATTTGAAATAATTATGGACTTTACAAGAGTCTTCTCTTTCCACTTGACTTTCATGAGCCCACGCTGCAAGCTAAAGCTTCTTGGACTGCTGAAGAATCTTAATGTGTAAGAACAGGCATAAATCAGCCTGAAAAATTATCAGAATTATCCTTAGGACAAAGAAAGCAAATGAAGCTAGTGCAGCATGGTTACAATTGATTCTGTCCATGAAATACACTCCTTAAAGCAAGAAAGGCACTGGTAGATGCAGACCAAGGAGGAAATGATTTACGGCGGCTTAAACTATCAGCTTTGACTTCCATGCAGTTTTTGTATCTTTGTTTCTCCCCCTATATTAATACAGGTATGCCACCCACACTACCTCTATAAATTGTGATGATGCCTTTCCAGAAAGAGAGTTAATCAAGCACTACTTTAATTTGATTCTTTGGATTTTTTTTTTTTCATACTGCAACTGAATTCCCACAAAAATTCTTGCAAAGATACACTAATTTAGCTCAAAATACATAAATCACTCTGGGTCCTGATTTTCCCTCTTTCATTTGATTTCAGGCGTGGTGTTTTGACTCTGCTTGCCTCAGCTGTGTAAAGAGATGGATCCTCTGGTAATGGTTCCCTATAAATTGGTCTAGAACTACTGACACAAATGAGTTTAGATTGCTGTTCTCAAGGGAAAAAAGGCTTGTCTAATTCATTCAAATCCTTATGCAGCTTCTGTCTTGTTTTGACATACAGTAAATTCCTAGTAAATTCGGAGTTATCAAAGGTGCCTAGCAGGCAGGAAAAGCTACTACAGATGCTCAGAGGGAAAGTTTTCAGATAGTTGTGATATTGTTGACCCAGCTCCCCTGTTCAACCCGGGATAACTGCAATCACCGAAAGAACTTTCAAAAGCTAAAACACTGTGGACAGGCGATTTTTTCTATTGCTGCTTACATTACGTTGGTCTTTCAGAGAATTCATATTCAGGGCATTTTTTTAAGGTGC